AGTACTTCTCCCATATAGTCCATAGTTCAGTCTTATTTACCATCATTTTAAGAAGCAAACTTATTATTCAGTACATATGCAAAACTCAGTATCAGCAGAACATTTCCAACTTTGTTTTGGTCTCTTACAGGCAATTGAGTTAAATTATTTTCCATGATTCACATGAGTCAATGGAGAGCACTGATTAACTTCAGTCTAGTCACTACATTTCAAGGTCATTTATGTGTTGACATACACTGAATGTTTTGAAATACCATCACTCCACTCCTGACATGATAGTAACCATATTCATTTATGTCAGAAGTGTTACACTTAAGGCATAGTCCAGTATCAAAAAAAAAGGAGGGTTTTTTTCTGGTAGGAAGCTTGTGAAGCTGTTTTTGTGCTGTATTCTTATATATTAGAACAAAATAAATTTTTCATTTTCTGCTTCCCATATTACAAAATTCTTGTTCATTTTTAGTTTCCCATACCACACAGTTCTGGTGGGCTTTTTATTTTTTGGTTTTATCTCTTTTAAGTCAGTCTTATTAATACATCAGAAATTTTTATGTGCAACAGTGACACCAGTCATTGTCAATACCCATTTTGTATATGTACATAGTAAATCCATATTGATAGTTAAAACACAGAATGACAGCTTATTTCTAAAAAAGACTTTACAGCCTTAAGGTGGAGATTGACAGACAGGCAGTTCTGCCTTAGAAAAAGTCTCACCCTCACATCTAATGTTGCCAATATCACAAGATATCACAACAATATAATAGCCACACTCATAAATCATTATATCACAGCTTGTGAATGGACAAATGTTCTCATCCCAGTCACTCAGTTCTTGTAGCAATCCTAGCAAGTTATGTTTGACCTGCTTGTCAAACTAAAGGGCAGGAAGGAAATGCACAGACAGTGGAAGTAGAGGCACAGCACAGGAAAGACACAGAACAGGTCTAGAGGAGGACCACAAAGACCATCAGGGGGTTGGGACACCTGTGCAATAAGGAAAGGCTGAGAGGGCTGGTGTGATCCAGAATGCAAAAAGTAAGGCTTTGAGGAGATATTCTTGCAGCTTTTCAATACCTGAAAGAAGGCCTATAGGGAAGACAGGGACAAACTTCTAAGCCAAGCCTATTGTGACAGGACAAGTTGTAATGATTTTAAGAAAGAAGGATGGTTTAGATTACACGTACGGAAGAAGTCTTTTACAGTGCGGGTGGTAGAACACTGGAACAGGTTGCCTAGAAAGTAGTGAGTGCCTCATCCCTTTAAACATTCCAAGTTAAATTGGATGGGGTCATGAGGAACGTGATTTAATAGATGTTCTTGCCCAAGGTGAGGACGTTGGATAAGAGAACCTTTTTAATGTACCTTCAAACCCAAATCATTCTATGATTCTAAAAGGCATGGTGAAGCATGTGCTTACCTGGGCTTGCCGGTAGGCTACAAAAAGCTTGTTGCTTCCACATATGCAACCTTTGTCATACAAACCCTCGGTAGAGGAAATGTGGCTGTTTGAGGACACACTTTGGTTCTTAAAAGCATTGCAGTAACCCTAAAATAATTTGTGTAATGTGGCTGTGCATCCATTTGCCTTGTCTGTTAATAAAATTTGGAACTATTATGAGAATCTTAGAACTGAAAATTTACTGAGAAACTGATTTACTGATAATTATGTGGTTTTACTTTAAAGTGAGGCATTGTGAGAGAGGAATCTTCAAGTGATGAACTGATTTGGCACCAAAGATGATACTAAATGCCAGAGGTCTGCTTCACATTCCTTCTTTTTCTTGTACTATATGTTCTTGTAAATTCTGTACTTCAAGCTGACTGAGACAAAAGGAGACAAGACTGTGAGCTTTTTTGATGGGAGAAGCATATGGCTGACAGAACAATCACAAAATCTATGAAGACCGAGGGGTGTCTTACTCAACTCTTAAGCCATCTGCCTGTAATTTTGGTGTTGCAGCAAGAATTCCATCCAGAACTATATCACTGTCTTCTGACAGTGTAACTGTTAAGTTGTTGAAGAGTCTGGATTCCGTAAATAACCTTGTCCAGTCATATCTGAAATTTTTTTCTTAAACTAAGACTTTAAGATGCAGTGTTATATCTTTATTTATATTAATGCTTGGATATCAGATTCTGGGCTGCTTCTCTGTCTCAAGTGGTTGGTGTTCATTTAGCACAAAGTCCTTTGTGATTTCTGCTTGTCACCTCTCAAACCTTTGATAATTGGTTTTCCTTTTTTAAAAAATTCTTCTTCTTTTTCTCATTTTGTTACTTCTTTTTCATTTGTCAGAGATACCACTTCCTTTATGAATCCCATGGAATCTTTGTTGCAGATATGTGGGATAATGACTTTCTATGAAGAATAGTTTTTCTGTTCTCTGGGCTAAAAGAATGAATTAAAGATATTTCATACTTCTGCATACCTTAGAATAGTGTGTGAAGAAAAAGAAATGGTCCTGAAGTTTCACCTGCATGTGATGTTTATTTTTATCTAAACTGGTTGACTAATCTGTCTGGTTTTGACAAAAGTAACTTAATAATGTGTGTATCTCTGCTTGATTAAATTGAAGCCGTTGCTTTGTCCCTTTTGTAGCTGTAGCCAGGCATTCTAACGGGTTAATATTTTTCCGTAATGCGGTGTTTAATATTTTCATTCTAGAGTTTATCCTAATAGTGACTAGACTACTATATTCTAATCAGACTTTGGTTCTCACTGATTTCTTTCACGCCAAGAACATAGTGCTGGATGATAAGGAGTTAGAGTAACTATTGTATTTGGCGTCTCTGGCTGTTAACAATAGTGGGGTTTTTTATGGTTTGCAAAAATTTTAAAACATAGAAATTAAAGATGGACTCCTTTGTCTTCTTTTCTCCCCAGGCACAATTACAAATCATTATAATAATTTATGAATGACTGAATTTCTTAAAGGTGTGTGTACCTACCAATGGATGACAGTTATGTAAAGCAATCAGAGTTCAACATACTTTACTGGTGCAAGAATTGATGTCAAGATTTTACTTGTAATTTGGAGACTATCTCAAAATTACTTGATTTGACTTGCCAAGTAACTGTAGTAATACTTGTGATGGCTCACAACTGAGTTGTGAGGTTGAGAGAAATTTGTCCATGCATACAATCTTTAGTTTTTTATTTAAAATAATAAACCCTCTTTTCCCATGCTTCTCCCAGAAGAGGTGCTGGCAAATGTAGTGCTGTGCAAGTGCAGTGAGTTTTATTTTTTATGTTGTTTGGAAGTTGGTATTTAAATCATATAGTGTAGGTGAAGTTGTAGAATTGTCTCAAATGTATATTTATTGGATGGCTTCCTGGTTTATAAAGTTACTGAATTCTAAAGGACGTGTTTGTTTCTATGTCAACACCTTTGTAGTTCCACAGCATTCTGACTAATGCTTCTTTAGAACTGAAATATGTACATAAAAGACAAGATTAAAAAGTCTATGAAGGCACTCTGGTTTTGGCTCTCAACATCAGTTGATTAAAATGAATTTTAATTTCTGATCAGCCAAACAATTCCCTTTCTTCTGAAAAGCTCTGTTTCTCTTCTAGCTGGTACAAAGTGTCCAATGTCTGTCTGTCAGCTGTCAGTCAGACATTGCAGTGTTGTAAGAGTCTTGGTGTTGTGATGCAGTAGCTGTAGTTTGAAAGTACTTTGTATTTGAAGGTTGTATCTCTGATTTTGCTTATTTCCATTAAGTTAATAATAGTTTTGAAGGGTAGAATAGATCCATGTATAGACTAATTCTTGGCACAAAGGAATTCCTTATTTTGCGCAAATCAGGACTTCATAGAAAAAATTCAACAAGTGGCTAAAATGCTTAAAATTAACTTCCAGTGCTATTAGGGTTGCTGTAAACAAAATTTAAATTCGTTTATATTGTAAACTAACCCCTTCTGTATAGAACATTCAGATCTTTCACTTTCAGCATATGTCAGATGTATTACCGAGTTACTCATGCCCTTCGTTAAGAACGAAACATGAATCTACTCCACTAGAAATGAAAAATCTAGACCATTCTTTTTCCATTCCTCTACTTGGCCCAGTAACTTAGAGAAAGCTCAGTGAACAGAACTCAAACTGTTGCCTGAACTTAAATTCTTACTCAGTTCAGGTCAGTTATGGTTGCACTTATTTTTTAGCTCATACTGTGTAACACTTTCCTGTTAACATTGTCTAAACATTTTTTTTTCCTGCTTCCTCTAATTATGAATTTATAGATCGGCATTTTGCATTTCTAAAGGGATTGAAATCCCTTACTTCTTAGAAAAATTGAACACTATATTCATGTAGGAATAGGGGTAGAGGTTTTACTGCACAGTCCCTACATCATTTCCATATCCTACTGTGGTGAAAATGGGTTTGTCACCAGTTCCTTACAGTAAGAGTATTGCAGCAAGCCTGTCAGTATAATCAGAATGTCTGAATGTCTTTGGCTGACAAACATCTTTAATAGAGTTTCTTGTATCGCATGACTTCAGATCTGTCCTTGCTTATATGTATCTATTCAAAACTTTCTCTTAAAATGTAAAGTTTGTAATCCAATGTTCTGACTTTGCATAAACAGAAATAATGTATCACAGAATCACACAATATGTTGAGTTGGAAGGGACTGACAAGGATCACCAAGTTCAGCTCCTGGCCCTTCAACTTGCCATCAGCTTGGACCCCCAGGTCCCTTTCTGTGATGCTGCTTTCCAGCATGTTCAGCAGTCTGTCTGCACATCCAAGGTTGCTCCATTCCCAGGTGCAGAATCTGGCACTTACCCTTGTTGAACTTTATATGGTTGGTGATTAATTTGTGTACTCTGAACCTGAAAAGGTTTGCTGGGTGAGTTGATGGGTGTAGCTGGAAGGAGAGATAAGGAAATGAAGATTAATATCTATATATAAGCTGTGATCTTGTGGCATTTTCTGGAAATCTGTTTTATTTTTTTGAGCTGATTGAAAATTGTCTGTAATTACTTTCTGTTGCAGATGAGCCAACACGTTCCTTGAGTGGTCTTATCTTGAAGAATAATGTAAAAGCACATTTTCACAACTTTCCAAATGGCGTGACTGACTTCATTAAAAGTGAATGTCTGAACAACATTGGTGATTCCTCCCCCTTAATTAGAGCTACTGTAGGTAAGTTTGTTCTTAATGCTGTCCTCTTCATACTGAAAGTGTTTCTGATATGGGTGAAAGCTGTAGTAGGGGCATAAAGAGTTACTAAATTAGTAAAATTTTTTGTTTCTCAGAATTGTCACAACCTCAACATATTTCAATGAAATTTTTCTTTATTGTGAATATAAATATGTCATGCTTTAGATTCCTGTTATCTTAGAAGTGATGTAGCAATTCAGTTCATATTTCTTGAAATGTAAGATTTGAATCTTCCTAAACTGAGCTTGCTGCCAGCTTATATACCTAAAAAGAGGAACACGGTAAAGGCCTGAAAATATATCTACCTAAAAAGAGGAACACGGTAAAGGCCTGACTTAAGAGCTCTTGCTATGCTCTTGATTGCATCAATGAAATGGTTCTGTTAGCTGATTTTCTACACCCCACCCCCTATATGTACACATATGCACATCCCCTCAGGAGATCATCATACCATGCATAAAAGAGCTTCTGCCAGAAAGCAGTAGGTAAGTGTGATGTACAGAACTTCATAGTATCATAAAATCTTGAAATGGTCTCAGAAGAGACCTTAAAGGTGTTCTAGTTCCAGTGAGAAGTTTTATTTGTTACATGAATTTTTGATTTCGTAAATACCTTGTCTTGATATATCTCTTTCATAAAATATGTATATTTGTATTTTTTTTTACTTAGTTCAAGGTAAAGTTGCTTTTCTCTGTGTTCTTTGATAATATGATAATATGATTTCCTCCAATGTTGTAGTAATTTTTCTGGTCTGCTTAAAAACTAGAAAAAAATAAAATATGTATTTGAATACTGAAAACGGGTATGCTTGTCAGTTCAGAAAGAAATTCAGCTTCTCTCAGATGACTCCTCTTAGATAAAATAATCTACCAGTTACAATTTAGAATCATTTGCTTTTTCTATAGGATTCCTTCTCCAGGCATTCAGTTTATGGACTAAAGTCTAGAGAAAATTACTCATTTCTTTGAGTAATTTCCTGCTGTCTTGCCAGTTGTGAAGCTGCTTTACATTGAATTTTATTAATGACTAAGTTCCTAATGAGAGTAGAAATAAGTCTTTGAGTTGCAGGTAGTCTTTGAACTTCAGGTTATAGAAGTCATGCTTACTTCTTTATTCATAGGAGTTCTCAGTGGAGTACAGTGGAGTAGCTAAGGAATGTAATCCAGCTCCATTCATTTGGTTTGTTATCTTAAGGTTGTTTGGTAGTGGTCTGTGGGGTGTTTTTTTGAGGGAGTTAGGGGTTGTTTGTTTTCAAGCAGTTACTCTTTAATTTTTCCTGATAGGAGATGCTTGTGGATTAGTAGCTTAATTATTGTTCAGCTTTAAGTGATCTTTGCAGGGATTATTAAGCATATATGAACTCTGAAGATGAATAGCAGCTGATGAACTGCATGCTTGCATAAGTGTTGCTGTTTTGCATATGTTTGGCGCCTTTCTGTTTGAATTGCTGGATCCTTGCAGCTGTCTGACCTTGTAGCTGTCTGATACCCACTAGATCCTTGGTACTAGTGAAGTGTAAAGAGGTTACTACCTACCTAGACTGCCTTCTTAGCATGAGTTGGCAGGTGGAGATTAGAGCTGCTCTTTCTGCTGGGTACGTGTTTTTGCAGTTCAAGCACTATCAATTTAATGAGTCAATTGCAAATAATATCTCAGGAATTCTGAGAGCAAGAACATGAAAATTACATCAGTGAATGTTTAATGCAGTATTCACTCTCCTTTGTGGTCTCTGGTATCTAGTGCTAATCAGACCTTTTGGCCCAGATGGAGGCAAACTGCTTAATCCCATCTTCAGAAGTCACCTTGCTGAGAATGAGCACATGACTTGAGACCAGATGATAACTGCACAATGTTTTATCCTTACTTAGCTTGTCCTTATTCTAATCCCCAAGTGAGTAACACAGTGTATCTTCTCTGTGCTGTTTATCAGCTGTATAGGTTTTAAAACCCCATGTGCTAATTTTGTAAGATACATTCAAGCTGCCTTTGTTGAGGACCCACAAATCTACCAGGATGTAAATACATCTCTTAAGAAAGTGTCTACAACTGTTCTTAAAACTTTCTAGGGACTCTGGTCTGGGCCGGACTTCAGTATAGCTCCTGATTGAAAGCAAGGAGGGAAAATAATTTAAGTATTTGAAAATAGTGGAGGAACTGGAGAGTTTCACTGCAGGAGGAGGTTGAAAGCTAACGGTTGCTTAAGGGGGAATTTTGTTATGAAGTTCAGCTTTTAAAAGGAGTTCTTAAGGAGTTCAGAAATCAGCTTCAGGAGTTACAGAGGCAAAGCACCATCTGTACAGAAAGTTTATAATGGCATGTATGGTCTGAATTGTATGCCAGACCATTTCATCCTCTGAAACCAGTTCTAAGACCTTTAAAAAATCCAGCACATTGCATCAAAAGAATAATGCAAAGTATTTATTAGTTACTTTATGTCCTATCCAGGATGTCCTTTATTCTGTAGTGTTGTCCTTTATTCTTTTGTATTTAACCAGAATTTTAGCATTTTATTCCAAAAAAAATTATATATTGCGAGTAGCTCAAGGAAAAAGCTTGGGAAACTTTTTCCAACACTTTTTGCTTGGGAGATTACTTGTAGTAGTGTTGAGTTCTTCTGTGTTTATACTTATTAGAAGTAACTGACAGTAGCATAAAGGATTGTGCTAGCTGTTGCATTTTGCATTGAGGCAAAATGGACTCATACAAATTCAGTCCTCGTTTATAAGTAGCTTTCTCTGTCCCTGTCACCTAATTAGTTTTTCCCAGGATTTCTATATGTGCTGGAAACAGAATTAGTGATTCTTTGGGCTGACCTGTGTGTTTGCTGGCTCTCTCAGCTCCTAACTGGATGACCTACCATAGTGTTTTAAGTTCTTAGTGGGTATCTTGATCTTAGAATGTGTCCTTAATGTTTTGTGTAAACACAATAAAGTTGTAAACATGTAATTTATCCCTAGGTTGTAAGTTTATTGAATGGCAGATTCCCACATTCATGCTTTCATATCATAGTAGAAAAAGAAGTCACTTGAGGTGGAGACTCTGTATTTATTAAAGGTCCAGATTTGTATAGTGTTTAGTGAATTTAGAGCCAAAGCTGCCCTGCTGTGTTATTAATTATACAGATATATAAATGTTATAAATTATAATTTCCTTAAGTGAAGTTACTTGGTGTTTGATTTCTAATACTTGAGCCCTTCATGGCAAGCAGGAAGGAGCAACCCACCTTTGCTGTTCAAAGCCCTTCAAATAACATTTGCAATTAAATGTACTTCCTCTTTTTATGCATGCCAGTCCTTAACAAAACCATAACTTTCTTAGCTTTTTAGATATTTGAGAGGAGAAAAATATGAAGAATTTATATGAAAGAAGTGAAAGCATATGAGGTCTCATTTTCTCCATTCTTCTGTTTCTTTTAGGCATTCTGATAACAACCATTGCCTCAAAAGGGGAGTTACAGAATTGGCCTGAACTCTTGCCAAAGCTTTGCAGCCTGTTGGATTCTGAAGATTACAATACCTGTGAGGTAAGGAGATTTATAGAAAATAGAAGAGGATCATCTGAATTTCATTATTTTTTTCTCTCTTTGGGGACACTATGTGTATGTATTGTGTGTATGTCTGTCTGTATTTATACATGCCCATGTGTTCTCCTTGCAGAATGGTGGCTCAGATTTGATACTTTTTCTTCCTCTTGTGGTCCGTGTTCTTACTGTTCATTCAAACAAATTGATTTTCTTTGCATAAAAGTGGAATAAGATTGCAGATAGATAATCATCATATCTCAGCTCAGAAGTCTCCTGAAATTTCTGCTCTGTGATACCTCATCTTTTAGGCACCATTAGCATCATTAAGCTGATGTTGAATTTTGTCTTATATAAAAGTATTGTTCATTCTTCTTGTAATTTAACCTGGAAGAGTGATCAACTGCTATATCAAGGTGAAATGAACTATTTTGTTTAGTCTGTATGAAGGGAAATAAGTAAATAACAGTTTTAAACTAACAGAAAAAATATAAAGCTGTGTCTAATGTAAAATAATTAAGATTGTGATCACACCATTTGAATTTCTTAATAACATCTCCATGAAAGTGTGAAACATGAAGTACAAAGTGAACTTCAGAGACAGCTGATCCAAGATGCCACATTGTTGTGTAGGGTTTTGTACTTTTTTCTCTCTGGAAAAAAACCTCACATTTGAAAATGAAACTCAAATGACTATATCTCTCTTTTGTCCCGTAGCGAATTATGAAAGGAAATACAATTATATATGCAATTAATTTGGGTACTTCTACTTACTTCTTAAATAAAAATTAGCTTTTAAGTGTTCCTTCTATCCAAACATATTTGGATAGATGAGCATCAAATCAAACTAAAATTATCACTTAGTCATTGCTGACTCTCCTAGCTTGAGAGCTGACAGATGCTCAGATGCTGGTTTAAATAAAATACCTTTAAGAATATTTCAGTTTAGTCATTAATTAGTTATCTGCATTTACACTATTAACTGGCTACATTTACTGTATTGTGCTGAAATTACCCATTATATATTAAGTCTTAAATTTTGTTTTCTTCAGTATGCGAAAGAAGACACTTACTTGTTTATTCATTTTTAAACAGGGCGCTTTTGGTGCTCTTCAGAAGATTTGTGAAGATTCCGCTGAAATTTTAGATAGTGATGTTTTGGACCGGCCACTCAATATCATGATACCTAAGTTCTTGCAGTTCTTCAAGCACAGCAGCCCAAAAATACGGTAGGTTTATGAGTTGTACTTACAGTTACCTGTTAAAATTCTGTTTATGTTAGCAGCAAGGCTGCTATTTTGTAGATCTGTTTAAAACCTGCTTAGCTTTTTTAAATGATCCTACAGAAACCCACAGAGATTCCATGCATCAGTGATTTTCATGTTTGTCTTCATAGTTAATACAAGAATCTTAACTCTTCATACAATCAGCCAATGATTCTGAAAATCAAGTAGCTTCTTTTAAGTTATTGCATATTATTACAAAAAATTCAGTGCTGTGCTTAGAACTTATTATTCTGATTAGAAATAGCAATTTTACATTCCTTTTGCAATGGCTTCAACAGTGGAAGAGTGAAAATTCTTTTGCTGACAAAAGTTTCTGAGTTCTGACAGAAGAAAAAATTCTGCATTTAACTGAACTTCCAGCTGAATCAAATTAAATGGATTCATCATCCCTTCACTGTAAAACTATATTAATCTTTCCAAAGTAACAGTATAAAAGAAAAATTCCAGAATTAGGTTGTTACTGCTAGTATTCATTACAAAGAACACTAGCTTTTACCCTGAATTGAGCCAGCTGAGTGCCCCTGCCACAAAGAAGGTGAATGGTATCCTGGGCTTGAGTATTGCCAGCTGGTTTAAGGAAGGTGGTCCTTACCTTCATCTTCCAGGTGAGATCACACCTGAAGTACTATGTCCAGTTCTGGACTGTTCAATGCAAGAGACGCATGGATATACTGGAAATATTCCAGCAAAGGGCCGTATCTGGAAAGGTCAAAAGAGTTGGGACTCAGCAACATATGTAAATACTTGAAGAGAGGGAGAAAAAAAAAGGCACCGGCTTTTTCCATTGGTGCCCAGTGACAGAACCAGAGGCAGTGGCCACAAACAGAAATTCAGAATGTTCCTTCTGAATATCAGAAAACAGCTTTTTTACTGGGAGGATGACCAATCACTGGCACAGGTTACCCAGAGAGGTGATGGAGTCTTCATCCTTGGAGATACTCAGTAGCCAGCTGGACTGGGCAACTGGCTGTAGGTGGGCCTGCTTGAGCACATGCATCAACCAGATGACTTTCAGAGGTGCTTTCCAACCTCAACCATTCTATGATTCTTTGTGTTTCTGTGAAATGTGTTTTAGCTTCTCTTTGAATATTATGTTTGACAGCTTTAAGGTGGCAATTCTTTATTGCCAAGAGTAGTAGATAGTGAAGACCAAGACTAATGACAGGATTCTAGTAGAGTTTAGAAAGTCATCTATGAAAGATGCTCACTAAGGAGATTACGAAACAAAGTGTGAACTTGGTTTTGTGGAAAGATAAACTTAATAATTCTATGGAGCTGGGAGAGAGGCAGAAAAACATGCTTTTTTCCTTACCACACTGCACAGTCTTTCACTTTTTTCCTGTGTTGCTATGTTTATGGCTTTGACACTTAAACCATTTTCAAGTTTAAAAGGCTACTTGCCTTCCCACAGCCTAGCCTCAGTACATAGTGCTGAGGTATGAAAAGGACTAGTAATGTCAGTGCAATACTTCAAATGTATCAAAAGGCAATTTTTGAACAATGTTTTATGACACAGTCTTCCAAGAAATGTCTAAACAGAATAGAAATTTGAAGTTACAGTAGTAAAAATAATGTAATGAATCTTCAAAGGGTTTTACAGGTAGTTTTGCCTTGTGCCTCTGCCTTGAGAATTTGACTTTTGTGTCTGAGAATGAAAAAGACCTGTAGGTAATGGTTTTGCATGTGGAATAGAAGGACAGTGCTTCGTTTCTTAGAATGTTTCTTCCACAAGTGTTTTAGTATGTATCCAACTATGAGTGTATTTTTGTTCTAAACTACATCTGTATTGTGAACACATTCTGGTCTCAGTGAATTGTAAACATATTGCAGAGACAGTTGCATACTTAACAATGAAGAAGGTCAAGCTGAAATACCACCATATTGACTTGTATGGAATTATTATTGTCTGAGAAGATCACAGTCATAAAATGCTGAAAAAGAGCATACATACTCTTCAGAAAAAATATGCCAGCTGTAGTCATCCTAGCCTACTTACTGAATACCTTATTTTAAAATATTTATTAGGTATATCAAAGTATAAGGCAGTACTTAAAATGTAGTTTAGTAATTTTTCTTGGTAATGGTACTGATGAATAGATTTATTCTCTCTTGTCTTTGAAGATATTTAGTTTATGCTTTTCATGCCTGAGTACACGTTAAAAATGTTTTTAACTCATGAAACATATATTTTAACTGTTTCTGTTGTAGGTCTCATGCAGTGGCATGTGTCAATCAATTTATCATCAGCAGAACTCAAGCTCTTATGTTGCACATAGATTCTTTTATTGAGGTGGGTGTGTATTCTTGGTTGGAGGTTTAAGTCAAATTACCTATCTGATTTATCAAGAGGTTTGAACTACGTTTTACCACCACCTCTACCCCTAAACTCTCCATTACTTATTGCCCATTCTTACCTTAAGCCCCCATGGATTGAATTCACTCTGTGCTCAGAGCTAACCACACCGTAAGCAAAAGAAGTAGGTGTATTTCAAAAGATGTTTCCTTTTCCTAAGGAGGGAGTGCTCTTGTTGTGTAAAGGTGCAAAAGTAATGGCAGCAGTCTGTCCCTTACCTGTCCTGAGAAGTGCATGTCACTGGACCTGTCTGCCATACTGTCTGAATACTGTTACTGAACTTGGATGAGAATGTTCTGTGTTCTCTAGAATATTTTATTTGCTCCTCTTATGTACTGACACAGTTTATATTAGGCTCAAATATAATCCAGAAGTACTGTTTTTGTGCCAGTGTTAATACACAGTGTCATATTTATGTATAAAACTATACACTGAAAGACTGAAGAGTTAATTTGCTAACCCATATGTCTTTAAAAAATAAAATAGTATTCTAAAGTATGTGTTGGGCAAGTACAGAGGTACATCTATCTCCTTTAGTCTGCCAGTAATGTCAATTCTAATACAAGTTGAATATGATGAATTGAGGTTTTTCAACTGCTACTACTTTCCAACAGAATCTTTTTGCACTGGCTGGTGATGAGGAGCCTGAAGTACGCAAAAATGTTTGCCGTGCTCTTGTAATGTTGCTGGAAGTTCGAATGGATCGCCTCCTTCCTCATATGATTAGTATAGTTGAGGTGAGTCTCATTTCCTCGTTTCTGCAGATTCCCCTGTTTGACATTGCAGAAATGATAAATTAAAAGCATTTGTCAGAACAGGTGTGTTGCTCTTGCACTTGCTAGCTCTTTGTTTCCCTTTAAGACTGAGATAGCAAAACATTATTCTTATCTAATTGCAAATTGACATTGTGTTTGACTGGCAGTGCATATGGAAGTTGTTTATTCTTCATTAAATCAATTATTCCAAAATGCCTGGGATCACAGCCAGGCATTGCTTGACCCTGAGTTTGAAGATTATGTTAAAAATCTAGCACTAGTGCTGAAACTGCTCCAGTTTACACATTGAAACTGTCACTTTTTTGGGTGTGTTGACCATAACCAGGATAAAGCATGTTATTTTACATTGCTGAGATGCTCTTTGAGCTGCTAATGAAAAAGTTCTAATGTAAATATTCTATTTTATGCAAGTAATTTATTTTTATATTGTGTAGTACATGCTTCAAAGGACCCAGGACCAAGATGAAAATGTGGCACTGGAGGCATGTGAATTTTGGTTGACTTTGGCTGAACAGCCAATTTGTAAAGAGGTATTATGTCGGCATCTTACTAAGTAAGTATCAAGAATTACAGCTCATCTTTATTTTCAGACAGTCTTCTTAAAATTTCAGTTGACTTGTTTATGGATACTCATAGAGGTAGTGTATATGGCTTGCAGTGTGCTTAGAAGAGTTCCATAGGTAGTTCTTGTGCATAGTAAAATTGAAAAGACTTCTGAGGGTTTCAGACCCAGTGAACTCCAGAAACAAGTGAACTGTATCACTTTAGTGCTTACCTTGAATTTAACAAGTTGTTACACTTCACATGAATGCAAAGATACGGTAAAATGCACTTAAGTGAGCAACTCTATGTGACATTACCTGTAATATCTGGTGTACCATGAACATGTTGTCTTGACTACTGCTATGTAGGCATCTCTGTGCAGTGCTTCAATGTGCATTGTCATGCAAAGGGTTCTTAATTTTTAAAAGAGCATAAAACAAAATGACACAGCTTAGATTTAGAAATCAATTTTGTATCAATTAGTCTTACAAGCTAACTTGAAGAAAGCCTGTACAATTTGTTCCTTCATACTTCTGCAGCCTGATAGTAGTTTGAGTTTCAGAACCTACTTCTTCAAAGTTTCAAAAAGTTTTCCTATGCTTCAAGAGATAGATCTTTGATTGAATCAGAGTAAATATCCATGTGTATAGTGTAAATACCTTTTTGTTTGCAACAGAGCTTGCAACTTCCTCCAGACTAATTTGAAATCTTTTACAACAGGAAATTAGTTCTTCAGTGTTGCTATCAAATGAATATTCTTTCTTTTCATTTATGCATTGAAGACTTTTTAAATATGGACAGAGTTCTCTCAGGATTTTGAGTGGAAGAACAGAATGACAGGACACACATCCTTCTCAGCAGAAAATAGCATTATAGATGTGAAGTAATTAAAATAGAAAAAAAAAATTTTGTCTTTCCTAACCAATTAAAAAATAGAAAATTGAGATTAAAACATGTACTATTGCAGAGAAAGACTAGGAGTTAAAACCAGGAGAATAAGTGTTGCAAGAAATTATTTTTAAATTTCAAACTGGTCTGATTTAATTCCTACTTTTGTAGGCAAAAGGCAGAAGAATGATACTACATAGTACAAGTTCTCAACACACACCATGTAGTTAACAGCTACTAGCATTAAATCTCTTTTGGCCTACATGAACCTTGGAACTTGAAAGTTCCTTGAAAGGCAACAGCCTCATATTAATTTTTTTAAAAAGCTTTTAAATTTCTAGAAAAATAAATTATTAAGAGTCACATCATGTTTTCCCCATGATTTTTCATTGTTGTGTATTTAAGGCAACTTATTTGTTGACTAGGGAGCTGTATAAGCTTGTCAGTACTTGATAATCTTAAAATTTTGTATGTTAAATTAAGAGTGGGACAGATACTTCTTAAACTTTTTCATGTGGTTTCTAATATCCGTTCCATTTTATGCCTGTGGACTTTTTAATAAAATGTATACTTCACGAAGTATGCTGCAGAAATGCCAATGAATTGGTGATAATGTTTATTCCTTCATTTAAAGTTTAGAACATAATGTGGCACTGCAGTATGTGAGTATTAGAGCAAGCCTGATACCTTCAAAAACAGCACTCACCTGCAGAATATAGCAAGATTGAGTCTGTCGCTGTTGCTCATCCCTGGTTATTAGTTTCATTTGGCTTGTATATTCTTATGCATTTTTTCTTTTGTTGTGGTGAACATGTTTTAATGGGAAGTATTTGGTTTTTTTTCCTTAGTACTTTTTTAGCTGTACATCTGTACAATTGGAGCCCTATAGCCATAGCCAGTTTAATAATTAAGTAAATCTTCATATGGATTACGTAAGATTTCTGCAATGCTGAAAGCTTGTCTTACTGAAGTAATCATGAGTTGATAGGAGAGATTAATGTACTTAGGCCTCCATCTTTAACAGTAGTGAGGTAGAGTCTTCATTGACAAGTAAATAAAGTGACAAGTACTATTTGCAAGAGTCAACTTATCATGCATATTATGGGAGTTTGAGATCTTACTGAAAACCTATACATGTAATTTCTGAAAGGTGCTTCCGAATAAATTCATCAGCTGTGCCATTGGGCTACTTCTATTTAAAAGTTTGCAATTTGAAATAACACTTTTTCTCATTACAAAGTATTGATGAATCTTATGACATGGAACTTGGTTCAGGTAATAGCTCTTTTTATCAGGCTAAGGTATTTCTTTTTTGAGTTGGGAGGTGAGGGTTACAGCCAAAGTTACGTCCCATATAAATTCAAACTGTTTTGCTTTTTTTATGTGTTACTTTAATATGTGTAAATATTTCTTTGTAGGCTGATACCTGTGCTGGTAAATGGTATGAAATATTCAGAGATTGATATTATTCTTTTGAAGGTGAGCATCTGTTTCTTTTACTCTGTTGGAATAGTTGGTTAGGTTCTAACCTGTAAATCAGAATGATTCAGGTCAGAGTGGGCAGACCTAGCCTACCATCTCTTCAGTGGAGAATTAACTTTCTGGGGCAAAGTATGCCGTTCCAAATACTAAATGCAACTGATGTGTTTGTTGGAAACTGATCTGTGGCTCTCCTGCTTTATCCCACTCCTCTCCCACACAATTTAGGCAGAGCTGGGATACTATTACCATGAACTACTGCAAGAATTCAGCATTAAAAAAATGTTCAGAACTAATTCTAATGCCTTGCAAGTTGAATACATGGCTTTTTCCATCCCTGCCTATGTCTGTGTATCAAAATTTCTCAATCACTTCTTTCCATTTCATTCCCATTGAGTAATTTCGTAACAAGAAGGTTACCTCTCTTCCTTGTATCTTTCTATTGCTTTTCTGGTAAATGCAGCAGTAGAACACAGAAACAGTGGCATTTTTAGATGAGCAGCTCAGGTGGGATGTGGATCTTGTATACACTTAAAAAATCTTGAACTAAAACTACATTGTTAACTTCCTTAAGCAATACTGTTGGACTAGTTTATCTAATTAAACAATTTGGTGGCAGGGGGATGTTGAAGAAGATGAAGCCATTCCCGATAGTGAGCAGGATATAAGGCCTCGTTTCCATCGTTCGAAGACGGTGGCTCAGCAACATGAAGAAGATGGTATTGAAGATGATGACGATGAAGATGATGAACTTGATGATGATGATACTATTTCTGACTGGAATTTAAGTAGGTCAAAGTAATGTGTGAAATGCTTTGAACAAGAGCTACTTGCGTAATATAAGAACCACAGTAAAAAGACAAGTTTGTATATAAGGAATACCAAGGCTTTTTTTGTGACTACAAAAATAATTATCTGCTGACATAATTGGTGGATTTATTGACAGGGAGCCTTTGAGATGACACTTTGACTTTATAACTGTATTGGCAGAAGCCATCTTATTTTGAATGGCAGATTGAGTTATAAATATTTATTTGATACAATTCAATGGAGCTTTCAGGCTTAATATTTTAATTCTATGAAATAATAAAAAATCCTGTATCACTTGTTTAAATTCAGTTTAAAAAGAGAATAAAAAAAAAGCTTTGCACATTGATAACTGGAGCAGGCTCAATAATGCTTTCTTTAATTTCAGACTTCCCTTTAAAATTGTTTTGTGTTTGGTTTGGGTTGTTTTTATTTCCATGTGAACATTCTACTGCCTATGGCCCTTACAGGTATTTCTTTTCTCAGTGAGAAATTTGCTTCTCAATACAGTACTAGTTGTGAATGTAGGAGGTGGCTCTGAGGAAAACAGAGCTCAGATATCCTATTGTGGGAGTCATAGGACCTTTAGGTTAATAGGCTATGTTATAAGGAAAGAAAACACCACAAACTGTTTTTTTAAGTTCAGAGACAGAAAATAGCTAGTGAAATTCTGACAAATCTGATTTGAATTTTCTTTGCAAACAAACTCATTGTGGAATAATGCTTTGAGATGTGGACATAGCCACATAGGGTCTTTCCCCCCAAGGCCACAAGTTTTCACAACAGGTGAATTTACCTTCAGGCTTATGGCTGAAAATTTTGAGACATATCTGAAGAATTATTGCTGTTGAAAATATGTTTGCAAATATGCTTGTTTCTGTAAAGCTGCATGTTGGAAAAAAAGTGTAGTTTTATATTCTTTATATTCTTTTTGTCGCTGCTGTGTGTAGAGATTGCAGATTTAAATATGCATTTTCTGTGAAAGAGCTCAAATGACATAAGGTGCCCTGTGATGCACGGTTTTGATTAAAACAATGAGAAAGCCGAAGTTTTTCAGGAGTGGTGGCCTAAAAGAGAAAGAGTAGAACACTTCAGAAATCTGTAATAACATATATTATCTGAATTTGAGAAAATTTGTATTATCTGAAAATCATAACTGTGTGCCCTATTTTGTATCTAGTATTCTATATTCCAATTTGAACAGAGATAAAGCACCAGCATAGCTTTACAATTAGCAGCATTGCTGACTGACGAGACCAGTGCAATTCTTTATGGCAGATTAAGAAGGAATTTATATTAAAATGGTTTTCTAAGAGCTGTGGCTTAGCCCAGGAGCACAGTGGATCCCTCTGTAGTGTAATGGGGTGGAAGTATGTTCCCTCCTAGTGCACTGAGAATCCATTGGCCGCTCAGAGTTAAAAGGGGAATTATATTCTCTAACTATACTGTTTGTATAATAAGCAGAGATTAACGACTTCTAGTTGTTTCAAATCCATTTCTTTTGTTACTTATTACTAACAAGTATTACAACTCCACATTCTTTATTCATAAAAGTTTGTCTAAAAATTTGCATTGTCAAAGGATGTATATTTGTCCTTCCTCTGATACGACTTCCCAGTCTATTTTTTTTTTGTTCTGCTCCCCTATTTCTTCTGGGCCCAAATACATTCCTCAAGGAGTATGTTTAAAATAATAACTTTTCATAAAATTATGATTCTAGAATTTTTTAAAGTTTAAAAATGCTGACATGCACTATGTGAAAGATGGCACTTGTTCCCCAGGAATAATTGCTGGAATACTCTGGGTTTTCTGCTTCAGAAACCTTGAAACATTACATGGAGTTATTTTCAGCATTATTTTCCAAAGCCTTATGATGCTCTGTAACACTATAATGTTATGAAGCAGAGGGAGGGAAGGAGTGTTTAGGTCCAGCATTGAATGCCCATATGAAACTACAAGAGGTAAAATACAGTCCCACTACCTGCTGAGAACAGCAAGAGAAAGACCAGAAAAATAAGGCACCCTTTCTCCTATATTTATTCTCTGTAGAGTTGTCTGAGTCTAACACTGTTGATTCCCTTCAGGGAAATGTTCTGCTGCTGCTCTAGATGTCCTAGCTAATGTATTTCGTGATGAACTTCTACCACACATCTTGCCACTGTTAAAGGAATTGCTCTTCCACCCCGAGTGGGTAGTTAAAGAATCTGGTATCCTTGTTCTTGGTGCAATTGCTGAAGGTAAGGCAACAGTTCACATTAGGTTGTGGATATTTAAATTGGTTCTAAAGTAGCTTGGGTGAACTTACTAGTGCAAGCAAGCATATATGTCCTTAGCTGGTTTGGTTTTAGTGATTAATCTCTTCATCTACTGATAGGTGACTGCAGTTATTTTATTTTTAATTTTAAAATATATGCATGTTTTGGAGGCTAAACAGATTACATAATTTCTTTTATTTCTCCTTTTCTAAACTTTGCAGTATGGGGGTGTTGATGTCTCTCAAAATACTAGCTTGATTTCATAGAAGGTAAATATTCAATAAATTTTAGCCTTAGATTTTAAGTTTTTCAGAAATGGAGAAAACCACTCCTGTGACTTCAGTACACCAAGATGCCTTTTTTAGATGGTCCTCTATTTAAAATAGAAGAAACTTCCATTCTTATTTACTTATTCACGGTCTTGCTTGTCTTTTTGCCTGAAGTTCCAGCTTCTCTGTCGCTTCTGCAAGCTGAAGAAGTAGATTTGGGTTCATGCCTAGATTATCTTTTTTTCCCCTCACTGTCTAATGAACATACTTTTTTTTACTGTTAATAGAAAAGTTTTAGTTGGTTTTGATTTGAAGTCCAGCAAGGTGGAAGTTAGTTTTTCTGGTAAATCTCAGTGTCTTCTTGCCCTTGCTGACTTGAAGGGTGAATCTTTTATTCTTGGTCAATAATGGTAATTATTATTATTTATGCAATAGGTTTTTTTTAGAACTTTATATAAATTTGTTGGACTTGCCTTGTTAAAATATTTGTATTTTTAACTGAATGTTGTGTTCCCACATGATAGAGAATGAAAGTATGTCTCTCATAGGAAACAGAAAATAGTGGAATTTTTCATTAATTCTGGTACTGCAATAGCTTTATTTTTCTTTCCAGGCTGCATGCAGGGTATGATTCCATATCTTCCAGAGCTAATCCCTCACCTTATTCAGTGCCTCTCTGACAAAAAGGCTCTTGTGCGCTCCATTACATGCTGGACTCTTAGTCGCTATGCACACTGGGTAGTTAGTCAACCCCCAGACACATACTTGAAGCCATTAATGACTGAGTTGCTAAAGCGTATCTTGGATAGCAACAAGAGAGTACAAGAAGCTGCCTGCAGGTAAGCCAAAGCTTAAGCAAACATCACTGTCCATTACACTGCTTTTGTTTCCCATGGGAAGCTATTTTCATGCCTTTACCAGTCAATGCATGACTCTGTTTCTAGCTCTTAACATATTCTTCCTCTTAAATTAGAGTAGATGCAACTTTCTCCCAAAATATGATAACATGAAAAAAGTCAACATCTATTTCTCTTGTGCAGTTTGTTTTCAGAGTAAAACACCAGCTTAAGTAATTTATTGTAGTAAATTAGCTGCTTGCAACACTTACTTTCAATATATGCTGTTTCATTGACCAGAAATTTGGCCTTTTTTAAAAATGTCTGTGAATATGGTCAGAACTGAATACAGTGGAAAGCTGTCCTATCATTGCATTACTGAAAGTGTTTGTACTTAGCGTTACCAAAACATTTTGGTTATGATTATTTCAAGGGATATTATCTTTCTCTTGAAACAAAATGTTGGGATGTAAGATTCCTTCTCCCCCATGTCTACTTCTTTAAAAAAAAAAAAAAAAAAAAAAAAAAAGCTTAATTAACGGACACAGCATTAATGGAATGGGAATATGTGCACCCTCTTGTGCATCAAAAAAATTTACGTCAGTTTTTGTCAGACTGGAGTGTACACAGCAAGCTGTCAATGTTTCTTCAAGAAACATTGTTACCTCTGTCTCTGATCACCTGAAACATAATAATAGTATCAATAATAATAATAATAATAATAGTCACCCCCAAATGTCAGTAGTGCCTATTGTTTCCTCTTTGTCTCCAAACGTCTGCAAAAATTTGGCTAGCAAGTTTGGGTAGCTTTAATGTCTTGTCTATTTATTCTATTAAAAGAAAAAACCAAATGCAAAAGCCAAACAAAACAAGCAAGTAACCAAAAAAAATCCCCAAAGGAAAATCTTACACTGCTCTTCAAGCTTTCCTTGTCCAAAAAATGGCTGAAAATCTGCATTTAGTTGACGCAACCATGTGTAGTTAAATGTGGTGTAGTTAAATAACCTCAGCTGGTGCTTATGACAGATGGGCAATGTGCCATGAAAATCAGGAAATCTAGAATGGAAATATTAAAAATTACAGTACACCTGATTTTTAAATTATTATTAAAGTCCATTGTCAGACTTGAAGCATGTTTAGAGATACTTTCTTTGGAGCAGAGATTCGCTAAAATTACTGTTGCAATTATAAATAAACTGGGAAACTTTACCATAAGGAAAATGTAGAGTTGTTGCAAGTCAAAACATATTCACTAGCTTTTTTAATTGTAAGGAAATACAATGAACATTCTTGGACAACAACAAAGAGCTTCATCCCAACACTGAGTAGTTGCATGCATTGTTTATGTCTACCAAATTTAAGATGGTCACAAGATGGTGTATGTTTTTGTTCCTAAATTCTGTATAGAAGCAGAGGTCTAACATTCACTTCTGTACTTTCAAGGAACTGCTTCTTTACTTGGCAACACACAGAATGATATTTTACTGAAATACATTTTCCTGCTCAAGTTGTATGCCTTTCTGAAAGAATACTTCATAATAAAATAAAAAATAAATAATTCAATAAATAAAGTAAGAAAGCTAGCTACTTAGAGTTCACAGTTCTCTTGTGTTAAAAAAACCCGCATTTCTGTATTTGGTAGCATACAGTGAAGTGATCACCTCATGCAGTGGTGCATGCATTTTAGTGCAAAGACAAGCTAATAATAATCTTGTTGAGAAAGCTAGGCCAGCTCAATAATTTTTTCCTTTGCTTAATGTTTGTCTGAAGCAGTGTCTCTGGTGTGGGGGGATTTTTTTGATTTTTGTTTCATTTTGGATGGGTTTCCTTAACGCTGCTATTGAAACACTGGATAGACAAGCTGAAAAGTTTCCATGATGTCATGATGTGTGCTTTGACCAAGAGCAGCTAAAACTGTTCATCCTATGTATTGCTTTTAGCTTTCCATATCTTTCTATATCTTTTTCTGTGTCATGAACAACTGACAGTACAAAGTGATGTCTGCATTGTACTGGCACAGCAGCATCAAAATGTCTACGTGCAGCTACTGTGTACATTAAAGATAGTAGTCCATTTTTAACTTAAGTAATCAGCTTTTGTTGTGGTTCCTTCTGTTCTAGTTAGTATATTGTAACTTTTCAGCTAATGCTTTTCTTTTAAGTGGGGGACTCCCTATGGCAATACTTTAAAATTTTGTTCTTCACAATGTAAGAGCTGGATCCTTATGGGTGATTTTGTGTTCAGTTAAAAAAGTTCTAAGTTATTTAAGTATTGCCTTTTTGGAAGTATATTGATTTGAGGACTTAAATACATCTTTATGTTTAAACATAAATAGGTTAAGTAGGGTATTTTGGGGTTGTCTTGCTTCATTATTTCCAAGGTACTAACCTGTTTTATTGTCCTTCAGTGCCTTTGCTACTCTAGAAGAGGAGGCTTGTACAGAGCTTGTTCCTTATCTTGCATATATACTTGACACTTTGGTCTTCGCATTTAGTAAATACCAGCATAAAAACCTGCTCATTCTTTATGATGCCATAGGAACTCTAGCAGATTCTGTAGGACATCATCTAAATAAACCTGTGAGTATACCTTATGTTCTGTAGAAACGCTCATCATATATTGAAAAACTGGTTGAGTGGCTTTTGTAGTGTGCTTTATATGTTTTTAAACAAAAATTCTGGATTCAATAATATTTGCATGTAATATACATAGACTGTATGTAATTTTCACACTACACAAATATTCCCCATTTTGAATAAATAATTGTGTGTTTGGTGGCTTGCAAAATGTACTTCTCATTATTGTGACTTTTTTTTCTTACTCTCAGAATTTTTCAGCTCAAAGGAGATATATATAGATATGAAATGGGATTTTAAAGAAATTGGTAGAATGTGTGTGCTAATTTCTAATGACTTTTTTGTTGTTTGTAACCACTTTCGGTATAGCTAAGCTGCTCTGTCTTTCCAATGCATCAAAGCACATCATCATTAGGGATTGCTTTATCCAAGAGTGGGATAGATGTGCATTTTATATCTAAAAACACAGAATCCTTTGAGTAAATCACAGAGAGCACAGGCAAGTGTAGTGGGGTTTTTGTAGTATACATGTTCATTAATAGGATATACATATATGTCACATGCATGCTGTTGAAATTTGGTTTATTTCTCTATAGTGCTTCACATGACATAGACAAACTAGAATAAAACAATTCGGGTTGTTGCCATGGCATTTTATTTGCCATTCAAGACTCCACACTATCAAAGGACATATTTTCCAATCTCTCTCTGGCCCTGGCCAGCTTGACTTTTGACAGCACCAGGAGGAAGCTAAATGGGAGCTCCTGGTAATGGTGGGACTTTCTTCAGTCGCTTAAAATATTGTATCTTTGGACATAGCATTAGCTGGCAGCATCTGTTGTCTCTTTGGATACTTTCTGGGAGCAACAGTACTACAGGGATGCCTTGCTTAATGTCCTTGTGACTGTGACAGCAGTGGCCGAGAAGATGCAACATTTTATACAGAATTGGTAAGTGCGCATTTCTGGAGGGATAGAAAATTACTTTCTTCATGGATGAATAATTGAATGAGGAACAGGTTTCAGGAACTTCTGGGGATAGAGTTGTAGCATCAGGGCAATGGAAGATGATTGAGAAAAGCAGGTGGCAGATGTACAACCAGATTGTATTGCTGGTGAAAACATTTTCTGTAGCCCCTGAGTCAATCCTATAGATATGTAACAACCCAGGCAGCTACTAAAAGTTGCTAGACTGAAGCCAAACCTGGAGGAAAAGATTTGTTTTGCAAAGGTACTTATGTGCCTCAGCAAAAAATCTTATGACATAAAATTTAAGTTCTAATATTCAACTACTTCTATATATTTCAACAATGGTTAAATTACAGTGTATATATATATTTTTTTTTTCTCCTGAAAAAGTAGAATATATTCATTTTCTAGCTTTGAAATAAACTAGTATGCAATTGAGTGCTTCAGTAGCTGATGCATTTTCATCTTAAACAGGAATATATTCAGATGCTAATGAGTGAGTATACCTTATGTTCTGTAGAAGGACTTCCTGTATTTGAAAAATTTGTTCAGTGTTTTTTGTAGTGTGCTTTACATATTTTAACTAGAAATGCTGATGTTTCCGTGTACCTTTTATTAGTGCTGCATGCTTACACAGGTAAAATACATAGACTGCACATAATTCTCCCACTACACAAATATTTGCCATTTTGAGTAAACAAGCAAAAAGTGTGTGGTTTGTTGTGAAATGTGCTGTTCGTCATGGTTTTCTTCATGCTTCAAGTTTTTTTAGGTCAGAGGAGATATCACTATAGGTACCGCATTTGGACAAAGTACAGATAACAGGCAGATGTGGTGAGGTTTTTTTTAGAGTACATGTATTAATTAGTAGAAGATGTGCATGTCATGTTTGCATCTTATGATGGTTATTGAGACTTGTTTTACTTCTCTATAGCGCATCAAATTACATATACGCCCTAGAAAAAAAACACTTTTAGTTGTTTCCATTTTACTTGCCATCTGGACCCCACACCATCCAAGGACCTGTTTTTCAGTCTCTCTCTGAGCCTGGCCACCTTGATATTTTTACAGTACCAGGAGGAAGCTGAGTGGCAGCTCCTGATGAGGGTGGGACTTTATTTAGTCAGTTAGAATTTTGTACCTTTGGACATAGCAAAATCACTTGGCTCTTTGGATATCTTCTGTAAGCAACAGCGCTTTAGAGATGCCTTGCTTAGTGTCCTTGTGACTGTGGCTGTGCAGTGGCAAGGAATCCAGCTTTATAAAGAAGGGCAAAGTGCCTCCTTCTGGAGGGATAGGAAGTTACTTTGTTTGTGGATGGTTAGTTTGAGGAAGAAGTTTCAGAACTTGGGGTCATGGATATAGGGTTGTAGCATCAGGGCAGTAGAAGATGGTTAAGAAAAGTAGGTGGCAGATGTAGAGCCACAATGTAAATATAAAAATGTTTTCTGACACCTTATGGCAGTCAGATAGATAACCTGGGCAGCTATGCTAAAATCAAACCTGGAGGAAGAGATTCCCTTTGTAAAGGTACTTCTGTGCTTTAGGAAAAAATATCAAATGCAAATTGTAAAATCTAGTATTAAAATATTTCTATGAATTGCAACAATGATTGAATTATAGTACGCCTGTTTGTTCCTTTATATGAAAAAGTAGAATATATCTCAGTTAATTTTTAGCTTTGAAATAGAGTGATATGCAGTAAAGTGTTTTAGCAGCATTTTCATCCTAAACAGGAATATATTCAGATGCTAATGCCTCCATTAATCCAGAAGTGGAACATGCTGAAGGATGAAGATAAAGATCTCTTCCCTTTATTAGAGGTAAATATTAAAATGTGAATATTTTTTATCAAGTTTTTTTAGAAACTATTTCTTTTTACTAAAAGTGTTCCTCCTAGGAAATATGACTATAAAAGCTGATATTTTTTGCTATTTTCCATTAGGGAAAATATATCCTGACTGTGGTGGGAAAATTTTATGACTGAATAAATGTCCTTAGGTTTAGCAGAAATAATTTAGATTTTTTTCCTGCCATTTTGGAGTGGTTTCTTTGATAGGATTCTTTTACAAAAAAGGGTTCTATCCTCCTTTTATTCTTGTCTTCTCTCTCCTTGCTCTCCCTTCATCCCTCCATTAAAACTATTGTCAGACAAGCTGAAGGTATGAACCAGGCCATGTAGTCTAATGCTCTCAACTTGCTGAGTGTGAAGCACCTCTAGAGGAAAACGCCTCTAGAAAAATTAGTTTTGTAACTCTTAGGTTATATTAGGTCTTGTTTATGGTCAAGATACTGCAGCTTAGTGTAAGTGCTGTCTGAACTCTCATAACTGGTTCTGTATGCGTTTCCTTGGCTAACTCTTAAGAAGATGCTGCTGCTGACAAATTTTCTCAACTGGCGTACGCAGGAGTGAGTAACAACTTGCTGATAGTTGCCTTGGCTCAGCTAAATCAGTACCGCCTTTCTAGGTTGTGTTTACTTAATCAGTTACCTGTTGGTGTACTTGATATCCTAAGTTCCAAATTCCCTCTCCCAAGTAAAAAGACTCTTCAGGCATGTGAAGAAAAGTAGTGACTGCTTTCTCTCTCTCCTTTGTTTTTTTTTAATTCCAGTGCCTGTCGTCAGTTGCTACTGCCTTGCAATCTGGCTTTCTTCCATACTGTGAACCTGTGTACCAGCGCTGTGTAAATCTGGTGCAGAAGACACTTGCACAAGCCATGGTATTTTGCTATAACTATTCCAGTGTTACTTTGATAAACCAAAGTGTTAACTATGGAAAACTAGAGGTGTGCAGGGAAATTGAGTATCTGCATGAAGGTGCAGTTCTGCAGCTTTTTTATCGTGCTTCTGAGAGAATCTGCTATAATTTTGAAAATGTGTACTTATTTGTTGCAGTTGCATAATGCTCAGCCAGATCAATATGAGGCTCCAGATAAAGATTTCATGATTGTGGCTCTTGATTTACTCAGTGGTTTAGCTGAAGGACTTGGAGGCAACATTGAACAGCTAGTGGCTCGCAGCAATATCCTGACACTAATGTATCAATGCATGCAGGTGAGATGAGTAAGCTATTTAATCTACACATTTCCTTTATTTAGAGAATCAGAAACTCGTCTAGAATTGTAATTTTTTTCTTCCTCTCTTTAGGACAAAATGCCTGAGGTACGGCAGAGTTCTTTTGCGTTGTTAGGTGACCTGACAAAGGCATGTTTTCAGCATGTTAAACCTTGCATCGGTATGTTTCTTTTACATGTTTCCAAAATGTCTAAGAGGTTGTATTAGCCATTGTTACACTCTCTGTTCTGTGGGTTGCCTTTTTATGGTGTGATATATGGTAATTTTCTGCAAAAGTCTGTAGTCTTTTGTCCCTTTAATTGTATGTTAAGAAAATATGTTCTTATTTTTGTGGACAGTGCGAAAGTTCATTTTTCTTCTTTATTTTTATAGCTCTTTTTGTTCTACTTGAATTTATTGTTAAGTAAAAATATGTCTAATATATAAATCCAAAAATGGGGTAGCGATTAAGATTTTACTTAGTTTTTCTGCTTTGTTTTTTATTTCTGTGGAAAGTAGCATCAGTGATACACTTCCACAATGTTTGGTCTTTCTTCCCACAGATATTGTTGAGATACACTTGCCAAATGAATGTTTGAATAGGCTTGGAATTTGAAATTATTTGGCAGGTGTTATGATGGCCTTTTTTTTCTTAAAATTTAATCAAAGATGTAATTGCCTTCTAGTCTTTGTTGTTTTTTCAGGGGTAGCTGAATACATGGTTATCCAAGTGATTTGGGGGATGTTCAGCCATATGATAAAACTAGTGCTTGTAGCTGTGGTTTTTTTCTCTTCCTATCTCTCCTCTCATCTGAGAAAGGGAAGGAGAATATTTGTACATAAAAGTTACATAAGGATAAACCCTTTTAGGAAAATTCTAAAAGCAGAATTTGAAAATATTTGCATTTACCTGCTTAGGTTCTAAATTCCAGGTTAATCTGATAAATAGCTGGAATATAGCTCTTGTGAATCTGAATGTAACACTTTCCAAGTATTTAAATAGGCTTACGATCTTTTTCTTAAACATCCCTTTTTTTCCCCCCTCACAATCCTAAAGTAATAGGACAAGATGGTTGTATTGTGTGATGAGTTTTTAAAATGTTGTTCTTTCTAGCTGATTTCATGCCCATTTTGGGAACAAACTTAAACCCTGAATTCATTTCTGTGTGTAACAATGCCACCTGGGCTATTGGAGAAATCTCCATCCAAATGGGTAAGATTTTTTTTCTTGGAATATTTGCATATTTAGAACGGTTTGTTTGGGTTGTGGATTGTTTTTTATTTCTAGTGATGCTTTCATGTTAAAAATTTAAATTCAGTTTTACATCCTTGTCTTTGACAGTAAGTTCAATGTACCAGATCTAAATAGATCGCACCAGAACTGGTTTTGTTATGTACTTGGCTTTTATAAGCAAAGCAACTCTGTTTTGCACAAGCTCTTACAAGTCTCAGTCTTGTAGCAAATTATATATCTAGATTCTAATTGGTTTCTCCTATTATAACATTTATTATATCTATTTCTCATCTATTTAATAATTCTTCTAGTCTTATTTATGTATGATACACGGCAAATGTATGCAGTAACACTTAATATTTAATTTCTCACTGATTTTGATGTATGCATGTCCTTACACGTGTACTGTATATATATGTCTAGTGTTGGAAAAAATGTAATTGGCCTATATAAAACAATCAACTCTTTCAATTTACAAAAAAGTGCTCTTTGTTTTAGGATAAACTTACAATATCATACACAAAAATCTAGATCCGTGATGGCAGTTTTACCACAACATAACTGAAATTATGTGTAATTTCTGTTACCTGGTCACTTAATAACAAATTCCTAAAAAGAATTCTAATAATGGCATGCATATTTTATGTTCTGACTTTGCATTCCAAATTGGGAGTAATACCCAAATGCCTTACTGAATTGGAATTTCTGAGGCTTGTTTCTTCTGCATTTATAGAGGGCTTGTTCTGGTATGAAAAGCACCTTCCATACTTGAGAAAAAAATCATAGATAAAGTGATGGGTTTATTGTTTACTATTTTATTAATTGAGGATTTCTTTTCCTTCTGTTTGAAAACTGTCTTGTAAGAAAATGACAGTTTAATTGCTATATCTGACATGATTGTATATGATGCAAGTACAATGGTACGGTTGTACTTTTTGAGCAAAGTAAGAGATAATTTGAGAGAGATTTTTCAAAGCATTTTTTTCTTTCTGTATTCTCTAAACTTAAAAACTGCACTTTCTCTGCCTTTCTATCTTGTTTAGTATGGAAGGTGAAGTTAAAGGAAAATTTACCTAGTTTTATGGCATATTATAGGGACTACTTCTTGAAAAGGAAATTTTGAATCACATACCTAGATGTGAAATATACCATGGAATAGTGTAACAGTATAATACTGTAATAGTATAACCATGTAAGTTTTTCTCACCCCTGCCCTGATCCCCTCCTCTGCACTGATGGATGTGTAATACCTGTAACTGAGATGCAATAGTTGAATGTATGTATGCTTCCATTATTAAGAGAATTTTTGGAAGCATCTGAACACTTGATTTTTTTTTTTTCAATTCTCTTAATAGTTATTTTAAATGTGGATGGATAACTGCAAATAAATGTTGAGTGTGGTGTACTTATTATAAGTTTGTTGTGGGATATTTTGTTGTGTTCCACTAGTATGTGCAAGAATATTACTAGTTTTGCTGTAGCTTGCTGTATAATTAATTATGAAAACAATTGTGAAAACACACTTTGACAGAGATTTCTGTTCCTTGTTCAGGCTGTAGCTGTAAGAATTTACAGATTAAACTTAAAATTGTATTTTCATTTGAACTTCAGTGAAGTTTTGTAAGATACCAAAAAATTTTAGACACTGTGTATGGAAATTGACTAATACCAGTACATTAACAGTGAGCTGCATCACATGAAATTGACATGTTTCAGACTGCTGGTATATCCTACACCAAACTTTTATTTGAGAAAGCATCATCTGCTTTATTGCATGTTTCATGAAACTGTTCACAAATGCCTGTTAATTAGAGTGTTGCATAGTATGTCCCTTGAACATAGGTTTCCTTTTTCTGCTTCATACAAATCTGCTGGATTTTAGTACTATTCATGTATTTTGCTTCAAGTAATTCTGATACATTATTCCCCACCCTCTCCTTTTTCTAAAGATTAATCTTTCGTGAGTTGAGCAAACACCATTAAAACACATTTGCATAATGATACTTTCTTTGGTCTGTCCCTCGGAACAAAGAGCCAAACTAACTGATCATGCGATGAAGCAATTTTGCTTTTCATGTGTCCTCATGCTTTGGTATCAGAAGTCAGATTCTTGTACATCTTATGAGGAAAACTTTTGTGAGCAGGAGAAATATTAGGATTAAAGAGTTAATGTTCTGCAGTCAATTGCTTTGAGTTAGCAACCATTTTTAATTAAATTCTTTGTGAGATTATGAAGAAGACATAAACATTTGAGAAGTGTTCTATCTATTTAGGATTTTCAGGCAGACCACAATATATTTTATGTAAAAGTATTTGGAAATGTATTTTTACTGATAGATTAGGTCTATAGAAACCTTGAATTCTAAATATTGGATAAAATAAGATGTTTAGAATACTTGATAGTAATACTGAAAATTAATAATTTCCTTTATTAAAAAATATCCATTATAGCGCATTTCAATGAAAACTTTGTGTAGAGGTAAATTTACTGTAAATGATTACTCTAAACAGGGACAGAATGACTGCTTACATCAGAAAACCTTTGAATTTTAAAATTGTGTTTTTGGTGTTCTCTCATACTTCTTTGATTTTTTCTTTTACCTTGGAGAGTATACCATATATGTTGCTGCCTCTTATTTAGGGGGTGGTAATAAACAGCACTGGTGAAATCTTATGTTTATTATCATACACAGATTCTGTTGGTTTCTGTTTCTGAGTTATTTGTTGTTTTTTCTTTATTTTTTCTCCTCCCCCCTCATTTGCTCATGTCTTGGTTGGCGTTTGGTGGTGTATAACCGTGATTGCGTTACCTTAGCAATAACAATTGGTCGTCTTGGTTACGTTTGTCCTCAAGAGGTGGCCCCCATGCTACAGCAGTTTATAAGACCCTGGTGTGTATTATTCAATCTTTTTTTTTAATTCATTTTTCTTCACTCTCTTTCTTTCTTTCTTTCTTTCTTCTCTCTATCTCACTTTTAGATATATTTTCAGTTGGTTACAAAATCTCAATCCTTAATCATTGCCAACCATGTGACTAATCTTGTCCTATCAGGTTTGTGAGTTTTTAGTAGCACCGTCATGTATTCTTTATGTTGTGGCTAACGACTAATTTATGCATGGGATAAGATTGTCACATGCTTGCTGTGTTAAAGCTTGACAATGAAAGAGCATTTTAAAATCCACCAGAATGATAATACAATGCATGCAAATATTGTAAAATTTAAACTGTGCATTACCTAAAATTCAGTCTGAGGCTTGAAATGCTGTAAGGAATATATGTTTATAGATTTGTTACGTATAAAATAGCTTGCTTGCTGCTGTAAAAGTTCAATAACTGTTCTGTAAGTGGTATCTGACATAATTCATACTGTGACAGTATTTTATGTTCTGCTTCTAATAATGGTAGTTTCTATAAGTATTTTAGATACATGTTTCCTTTGTATTTAATGGAATAGAGGTCACACTTTCTGACTGCAGTATAACAAAAAGCCAGATTCTGGAGGTGATGCCTGATGATTTTATGCTAGTAAAAACTGTGTGCAACAAGTGTTTTTCTAAGTGTTCAGAGCTGTGTTTCAGATTATCTTATCAGTGTGACTTATTCCATCAGATACTGTCATCTAGTTTTGACTTGATTAAAGAAAAGTAATAGAGTTATCTAAGTTTTGCTTTCCAATTTGTTAGGTGCACCTCTCTACGAAATATAAGAGACAATGAGGAAAAGGATTCAGCGTTCCGTGGGATATGTACCATGATTACGGTCAACCCCAGTGGAGTAGTCCAAGTAAGACACATTAATAGATGCTAATTTTCATTTAAATTTCACATAAATTTATGTGAAATTTAGTGAAAACTGTATGTGGAGTATGAAAAAGTTTACCTTGAAGAGATTCCCTGCAGTACCTGATGTAGCTTTATTTTGAAGTCAAGAAGCCCAAAATGTTTATATTGTGAGTGATGTGTGTCATGATCCTTCAGAAATTGTCGTCTTAAAAGGAAAGGGGAGAAGTACTTTTAAAATGAGTTTTTTGTCTTTTACTGGCAATTAATATGTAAATATTGAACTTTGATTAAAATAACTGTATTTTGATACTTCTGTCAGGTTGTGGTCAGGATCTGTATGCAAATATAAGGTAAAAGTTGACATTCTTATACCCATTTTCCACATGTAACCTAGGTTTTTAAAACAAGAAACAGAAGAAAACAGTAACGACCGACCCCTTTGTTATTAACACTTGGGTAGGGAAGATTCTGTTTCAAATTCAGATCAGTTTTTCAAGGAGTCAATGTGACAATGAACATGCATTTCTTTAAAATAAATGGTACAATTGTAGAATAGAATATGACTTGATCTTTAGTCTCCACACCTCCAAAGTAAAGCTGTATCAATATAATATTTTATAAGAGGAAAACAAAACTGATCTTTCCCTTTTCTCTGCCTGGAATTCTTCCTGAAACACAAGAATTGAGTGTTTGCCTTGTTTTGAAATGTTCAGTTCATTTCATTTAGGCCTTATTCTGTACTTTACATTTCACTCTTCTACTACCTGTTCATTCATGTAGCTTACAGAGAGGGGTTAAATAAGGACCCATTTCATTAACTCATCTTTTCTCTCTAATCATCCTCAGTTCCTCTTTCTTGCATTAGCAACATTATTTTTAAAGACTGGTGTTCTGTTAGTGTAGGAGGAGGTAATGACAGCAGATGAATGGAGTATAGGGATGGAGGTGGCTTTAGTTTTGAACCTGTATGATAAATGTTCTCTGTGTTCCAGAAAAAAATTACTTTAAGAAATAAAACAAATTTTTTTCCCTAACTGGAAATGTGTGAGAGATACATTTATTGCTTGTGAGTAAAGGAAGCAGACATTGAATTTGTAGGTGTACTGAACGAATTAAAGTTATACTAGTGTGGTCCAGAGGGGAGAGCTGTTGTTTTCACTGTGGTTTAATTTAAGATACTCAGCAACTTCTGTAGCTGAACACTTAGGCATACAATAATTTACCGTTGTCTGAATTAAGTGGAAAATAAATGCATAAAAGCCAAAGCAGTTGTAAATTAGGATCAAAGACCATCCACTTCACAGAATGAATATCAAGCATTGTTTTCAGATGTATAAATTGAGATTTCTAACCTATATGATTGTTTAATTTTGTAGGACTTTATTTTTTTTTGTGATGCTGTTGCATCATGGATTAGCCCAAAAGATGATCTTCGAGACATGTTCTGTAAGGTAAGGTTTCTAAGATAATAGTATAAACTAGTGGTGGTTGTTTTACATCCTCTGGTTTCTTTCTGTTTCACTTGCTAGTGAAGGTGTTTTCTAGCACTTACTGTGTTTGTGGTCATGGAGACAAAGCAACATGAAAATCCTGACTTCTTTTTTTAGCCTCTATCATCTTATATGCATTTGGATTATTCCAAAATTTTTAAATAGTTGCAAAGTTCACTTGAGGTGTTTTCTGAAGGGATAATGATCCTCAAACAACTTTTCATAATCTCCAGCCTACTATGTTTTCCTGCATTTGGAAGAACAGGAGAAGTTATACTACATGTAAGACTTTTTTTTTTTTTTTTTTTTTTTTTTTTTTTTTTTTTTTTTTTTTAGATTTGTATGGTTCAAGACTGTTTTTTGTCACAAAGATGGCTACTTTATTTTGGAGACATGCATAAGTTTCAAATTAAAAATATGCCAGTGGTATCGTATCTGTTTCTCATAACTCCTGCTGAAAATAAGAGATTGATTAATCCTTCTCAGAATCCTTCTTAGTTGAGTAAGTTTCAAGAAACTAACATGCAGTTATACCCAAGAATACATCCTTAGGCAAAGCGTCAGTAGAATTTAAACTAAAGGACTGTTTGCCTTGTTTTAAGTAAGTAAAAAACAAAAAAGCCCTGCCCAGAATGTGATGCACTGTATTTTGACCCTAGTGTCTTAAATTAAAAAAAAAAAAAAAAAGGCAAGAGAGGGAGAGAGAGAGCAAGAAGTGGTTTACCTCACAAGTTCTAAAGTGAAATCCCCATTTTTAGGAAGTTCTATGTCAAAAGTAAGGTTCATGATATTCTTAAAGCAAAAATATTCTTAAGTACTTATTAGGATCATGGGTTGGTATTGGCACTTTTTCTTCAATTAGTGACACGTGTGAGCATCAAATCAGAAGCTAGAACTTTTCTACCCCATTTTTAAGAGCAAAGGCAGAAATCTTGCTGTCCTAGGTAGTCTTTCCAATAACCAGCCTCCTTCCAAGGAGCATTAGATCTAGAAAAGGTGCAGCTATGAGTATTCTAACATCAGCAGAATGAAACAGCAATTACAACTTAAAAGGGGGTCCTGGACAGAGTCTGTGATGATTGCCCAAAGCAGTCTCACTGCATGTTTTTGCACCAGTCCTTCAGCAGATTAAAATCCTCTTTTTCAGATTCTTTCCAAGTGATCTGTTTGGGAATCAATGCATTCAAACTTAAACAGTGGTTCTTGGTCACTTGGCATAAGGACATCCTTGCTTTTTTAAGCAAGCAATTTTATAAAGTAGTTTTGTAGGTTTTGCCTTATAGGAAAGGACATAAAGCTTTCTTCAGTGATAACACACAGGGTTTTTAGACAACTTCTTCATGAATTTGTGATTGCTGTAGTCCAAGTAGATGTTTTCTAACAGTAATTATGACTTTTCAGGAATAAGGGAAAGAAACTGGATTTGTCCAGGTTTTGGGGTTTTCTTTAAAATGTATTTATTCTTTAGTACTAGAACTGGAAGAGAAGATACTGTCAAGAACATGGATAGATGAGCTGCCAGTGTTAAAATCTAACTCATAACCTTTTGTCTTTCACTGAGCATTCTTAGATTTTCAGGAGTTAGTTCAGCTGGTTAGTGTGACTCTTTGGGTTTAGCAAAGAGCCTGCTTGTGGGAGAGAGAAAAGCAGTAAGTTAACTGGTTGCATGTAATGACATTACCACTACATCTGTTTAAAAACAGCTCTACTTGACAGTCTTGTACCATGAACTTGAATTTTGACATTGCCTTTTATTTGAGGAGACTGTTCCACAATTCAGTTACACTGAGTGTAAAAAGGAAAAACAAAACTTTAGATTTTCTTGGTATAATTTTCTATGAGGAACAGTAATTCTGTCTGCTTTTGTCCATTCTAATGTTTCGCTTTTACTTGCTGTTTTAAGAGATAACATACTAAGATTTTTTTTAATAATGTAATTTCATTTTCAGGTAGTTTATTACATCAGATGGTCCAAGTGGAAACCTGTAGATTATTTGTTTTCCTCTTTTACTGGCTTTTGACTGCCATTGACTGTGGATCCCTGTTATTTCAAAACAAAGAAGGTTTTAAGAGATTCATTTTTAGTGAAGTGGTCTTAGAGGTTCCATGCAGAAAACAGAGTTCTCAAAGACTTTATATTTGTGCTAGAAGTTGACAGGTATTCATTCTGTCAAAAGCTGACTGCCATTTAATTCAACTTCCCACAAAATACTTCACATCTGTCAAAAAATAAATGTGAACACAGTAGTCTTAAAATATATTAACTGTGTCAGTTGATAAGGTGGATGGATGGATGGATGGATGGATGGATGGATGGATGGATGGATGGATGGATGGATGGACGAATGGATGGATGGATGGATGGATGGATGGATGGATGGATGGATGGATGGATGGATGGATGGATGGATGGATGGATGGATGGACGAAAAATGAATTTAAAAAATTATAATGGATGGATGGATGGATGGATGGATGGACGAAAAATGAATTTAAAAAATTATAATTTAAGCATTCTGAAATGGCTTAACCCTAGGCTTTAAGTTACCTATTAAAAAAATATATGAAAACATATACATACACTGGTTTCTTTGAGTAGCTATATTCTTTGTCACCTTTAAAGAAACACATTAGAAAGACCGTGCTCTAGTTCCTTTGCTTCTTTGTAGCATTTCGGTATGATATTGGAGAATTCAAATTGCCAGATGTACAACTCAGCACTTCGTGGTTTACTGCATATGATGCTAGTAAATAATGTAGCCTCTATTTTTTGCTTGTTTTGATTTCCCCTTTCTCATTTGTAGATTCTTCATGGATTTAAAAATCAAGTTGGGGATGAGAATTGGAGGCGTTTCTCTGACCAGTTTCCTCTTCCCTTAAAAGAGCGCCTTGCAGCTTACTATGGAGTTTAACCTCATGCACTGTAGCTGCAGTCCCATAATTAGAGGTAAGCACATGAGTCCTGTTTGCCAAAGAGAACTGGGACTTTCTCCCGGTTTGCATCATATGAAACATAATTAATTCATCAGTCTAGAATTGCTGAGCTACTACTTTATATATGAAGGAAAGAAAGAAGGAATGATAATATACCTAAGTGATGGTGACTGTAGCAAAAGCATTTGTCTGATTTTTTTTATTGTTACAGAGAGAGAAAGAAAGAAAGAAAGAAAGAAAAACTGAGTCTATGATACACACATTAGTTTATCAAGAAAGTTGAAAGTATAGGTATGACGAAGTGCTGGTTCAAGTTTAATAAGCAAAGTGATGAATATGATCCTCAAGTCATCATACTAAAGACACAGGCTACCTTATATGTTATAAAATAATAGATGGCAGATGTGGTCTAAGTGGGAATACTCTGCTAGGATAAGAAAGCAGCTTTGTTAACACACCAGCTGTGAGAAGTCTAATGGCCTAACTACATACTAAAAGATATTTCCACTGAATAAAGAATGCTATGCTAATAACTACAGTAACTGTAAAGCTTGATGTTTGGGGGAGTCTGGTATGTGTTTATTATTGCCATGTTCCATTTTGTGTGTCAACTCAGAACTGTTAGACACTTCTGTGTGGAGAATGATTCAGCTTCGACAAAGAACAGTGAAAGTGCATTCCAGAGTACCTCTATTATTATACCACCTTGCTTTGTATGCTACCTGTGTATGCTGTATAAAGTAAATTTCTCATGTGTGATACTGTGATGAGATTATTATATTACCCAAAAAAAAGAATGAATCAAGTTTATTCTTTTAGTCTTTATACAAATTTGATACTTTTAGTAGAATTTTTGTACTGAAATTATGAGAGTGAGTCATGCAGTTCTGTTTAGTGTTGGAATGGACAACTATTTAAAATTCAGCCTAAGATTTTTTCAAAGTCAGTGTCATAAAATTTTTGCATTACATGTTTGATCAGAACAATGGATTAAAAATAAAACAGCTACATACTTATCAATGAGAGCATTTTAGTTCTGACATAAGGATGTTTTCTCTTCCTGATTAAAAGGAAACAAAAGTGATAAAATCCACCATTGTTCTCAGTTTCAACTGAGAGAAGCTATGGCTATCTTGGTTGATCCACTTGAAAGGGAAGCTGCTAGGTCAGTTGCAGATATGTTTAATATTCTTTCTTAATGTCATAACTACCTCATAATTTTGTGCTAAAAATGGAAAAAACTGGTTAGAATATATAGGGTGCTTTTATCTTAAATCTAAGTTTAAAACAACAGTGGAACTGTCAATGTAGCTTCAAAGCATATATTGTTGTTTTATGAATAATAATTTATCTGATACAAATGGGCTGGAACAGACTTAAAAGGGAACATTAGACATAAATCCATTTTAAAGTTATAGGTTGGCACTTAGTGCTTGAAAAAGACTCTTTGTTTATGTACCTATCTGGCAGAGGTTCAAGGTAAGATGTAATTATACCGTTATCTTTTCCCTTTACAGGTCCTTCTGTCTGGGAGACTATGAGGGAGCCTCTGCACCCAGGGAAAATGTTACCCTTTACTGGGGGGAAGGGTAAACCAGTAGGGAATACAGTACAATCCCAACCCTACTGGGAGGGGCGGGAGGGAGGTGTTGCCGTCACTGTATTAAGTCGATGTTGGGAAATGTTTTAACATCTGGAGCCTTTGTGGGTGGAAATCTGTCTCCTATTACACCTCTGCACTGGATGTGAAGAAGAAAAAAAAAAGAATCTAGTCACAAAACAGCACATTCTGGAATATTATGGGGATTTGTACCAAAATAAGAAACCATATAATTGAACCATAGGGATACGTAAAGAGGAAAAATATTTTGCGCACAATAAAGGAAACCTAAGAATGGGGGTCACAAACAGTAAAAGGCTTTCTTTTTTGTTTTCTGTTTTTTTAAGTAAGGGTTTTCTACATTATTTCATCCTGCTTGGTGGGATTCCTAGATATTTGCATGTTAATGAAGAACTACACAAACGAAGTTAGTACAGTTAAAATGCAGCTTGTGTCTGTATTAGGAACAGGCACTTGCAGTGTACAGTATAGAAACCCCATCATAAAATAATAAAGGTTAACTTGGACAAAATGAAGCAACCTGCAAGCTGCCAACTAAGTCACTCCTTTCATTTTGGGGTAAGGAGAGGTACACTGCACAGGAAAGATTGACATCTTAATTTTTATGCTAAGAAAAACAACCAAGGTAGTGGATATGATTTTATTATTGTACTTTGTTAGTTTTGATTTCTAGAGTAAGGCATTATTCCTAACTTGCAGTTTAAGGTTCAGGCATGCGTTCTGGCTCATAGTGATCAGAAGTAATATTAATTAGTGGGAAAGTAGCATGCTTGCATAAATGTTTTAACATCTGGAGCCTTTGTCGGTGGAAATAGTCTCCTATTACAACTCTGCACTGGATGTGAAGAAGAAAAAAAGTCTATTAACAAAACAGCACATTCTGGATTATTGTGGGGAATTGTACCAAAATAAGAACCATATTACTGAACTATAGGGATACATAAAGAGAAAAACTATTTTACGCACAATAAAGGGAACCTACAAATTGAGGTCACAGACAGTAAAAGGCTTTCCTTTTTTTTAATGTTTTTTTAAAGTAAGGATTTTCTACATTATTTCATCCTGCTTAATGGGACTCCTAGATAATTTGCATGTTAATGAATAACTCAAATTAAATTAGTACAGTTAAAATGCAGCTTTTGTCAGTATTAGGAGCAGCCACTTGCAGTGTACAATATAGAAACCCTGTCAAAAATTAATAGAGGTTAAGCTGGACAAAATGAAGTAACCTGCAAGCTGCAGATGAGTCACTCCTTTCATTTTTGGGGTAAGGGGAGGGACAAATCAAAGGAAAGATTCACATCTTAATTTTTGCATTAAAAAAATTGAAGTAGCATAATTTGGTTACTGTAATTAATTAGCTTTAATTTCTAGAGTAAGTCATTATTCTTAACATGCAGTTTAAGGTTCAGGCATGCATTCTGGCTCTTAGTGATCAGAGGTAATTTAAATTAGTGGGAAAGTAGCATGCTTGCATCACATAGAATGAAATTGGTATACATTTACCTATGTGGTATCAGTCTTATGTTGCAGTTTACCAATTCAATATAGCCCTGCAGTTAAAATTCTTTTTCTGAGATTCTGTGGATCATATTTTTATTAAGAATATAGTTATGAAGTACTGTAGTTAACAATTAGGCCTTGAAATACCTTTTTAGGATCTGTTAAGATTAAGATTCATATTGTATTGTGTGTAACCTGCACAATGTGGAAAGCTGATATAACTGTGCAAAATATTTGCCTCTGTGCTGTCAGTGTGATGTGCTTTCTGCATGGTTATATACTAGTGATTTTTTCAGAATCTCTAAAATGAATTACATGGTAAGACCCGTTAAAGGCTGCATAAATGTTAGTTGGCACGTAAAGACAATTGTAGAAGTTGATGACAATTGCTATATTTGTGTTTATTCCCACTCAACGTATTATCTTCTACGCTTTCTTTTTGTTCAAAGCATGATCTTAAGAGATGTTTAAGTTAATGGATGTAATGCAGGGTATCTACACTGTATCGGCGCATGTTGGTGGCCCTTTGTGATGTAGTTAAATGCACAAGGGTGCAAGTTTAAAGCTACAGAGTGAAAGTTGGTTTGGATCCTCTTCATTTCATTTGTTTAGCTTTTCTGTTGTGTTTTTTTTCTCTACTTACATGTATTCCTGTGAATAAATCCTTGTTAAGTTAACGCTTTACTTTTCCTTCCATGTGTATTTTCTTATGTACTGTGAATGTGAAATCCTAACTGGTACACTTGATCTTGTGTCCATCTGAAAGTGGCAAGTCTTTATTAATTTAGATTGCCTAAAGAGTATCCCATGATGATAAAGGAAAATGGAGAGATTTTTAGCTCTGCTGGTCAGAGGTAAAGCCAGACCTTTCCATTTTTCAAGTGCTGCATTATTAATCTGCAAAACAAAATTAAGCCATAACAGCCTTTTTGTAGATTTAGTTTCTCACCTTTGCATTGCAGAATGGATACTGGATAACAGTTTTTGGGTTAGTTGGTGTTTTCTGGTTTTTTGTTTTTTGGTTTTTTGTTTTGTTTTTTTTTTTTAATTTTATTTTTTCTTTCTTTGCTTGATTGGTTGGTTTTTGGGGATTATTTTTGTGTGTTTTGGGGGGTCTTGGAGGGGGTTGTGGTTTTTTTTTGGGGGGGGTGGTTTTTTGTTTGTTTTGGTTTGGGATGTTGGGGGTTTTTTGTTATTTTTGTTTGGTATGGGTTTGGTTTGGTTTGAGTTTTTTTTTGGTTGGGGCTTTTTTAAGAACTTGCTCTTCTTTGCATGGTTCTGTTCTTTGACTGTTGAATGATTTAGCTATTGCACTGAAGTTTGAGCTGTGTGAGTGTGAACTTAAAAATGCTGTTTAAAGAGTTTAGATTTTTTTTTTTTTTTTCAGTGCATGATCACATGCATGTTTTATGTCCTGTCCCCATCCTCCCCCCAGGTTTTTTTTTGGCTTTGCAAATTTTAGTGAATTATGCCTGAAGCATAGTTTGGACATGTACTGTATGAAATATAGTTGATAATGCCAGTACATAGTATTCATTCAATTTGATCAAATTGCATGTGATAACTTGCTTTCAAGTTACATTACTTTGATAGCAAACCAAAAATACCTTCTCAACTAATAACTGATATATATTAGTAAAATTCAATTAAAAAACTTTAATTTTGAAAGGGAACATCTCTGTCCAACATTTAGCAAGGTGGGATATAATTTTAGACCCGAACTTGCTTTAATTTTAAGTGTGTTTAAACATTAAGGAAGAGTTTCAGAGAAATGACATTAAAAAATCTGTAGAATAGAAAACCTACCCAAATAATACAGTAGCATAACAACAAAAATCTGGGTTTAACTAAATTTCTTAAATTTCAGAAAGCCCCTTTAACCAAATAAAACCACTCCACCTTACCTTGGATTAGCTTAGGATGCCACTTTTGTACATATTTGTTTTAATACTTACTTGTACAGATATGAATTGAACTGTTATGACAACAAGGAAAATAATTAAAAAGGGCAGGAATAACTAGTACAGGAATAAACAAAACAGAGTTTTGTATCAATAAGTTCTCTCATGGTATATTTTAAAGCCAATAAACCATATACCTATTGCACAATATAGTGCAGAGATTTGCAGAATCCTTTTAGGGTGTAATGTGAGGTAAGGGAAGTTCTGAAACAGCATTAATATTTAAAACTGAATTATTGCATCATGGGATATGTATAAAAAGCATCTTAATTCTTGTGGTGTAGTCTTGACAGTTCTTGAATGTTGACTGAATGTTCTGGTAGAATTGTGAGTTTGTCTTTGTTACATTCCAGTGTTTCTGCCTCTTGGCATGCTAAAAGCACGGCTTACTTCATTTGCTCCTTACACACTGAAAAAGTGCTGTTAGTGTGCTAAACTACAGAAATAGCCGCTGCTATGTAATGGTGTAGATTTTCTACTTGAATAATTTTGTTGTAGGAACCTCAGGAGGTCAGTGTTTACTGTTTTTATATATGCCTTTTTCTTGTTTTGAGTTTCCCTTTTTGAAGGATTCTGAGAGTGAAAAAAAGCTGCTGATCAACCTAAGTTGGTAACAGAAAGTGTATTTAAAATCCTTATAAATGCATCTTTTTGGCAGTTCAAAATTGCTGTTAAATTAGTCTTAAGTGAAGTTCAATATTAAATTTTTTTCATAACAGTCAGGAAACTGCTCATTTCATTTTGGAAAACAGATTAGACTAGTTCATTATTTTAACCAGTGCAAGCAAAAGTAATCAGTTTTGTATTATTTTTTTCCAAAGCTTGATTATTTTCTTAATCAGTGAGTATGTATATATTTAAATTGTAAGAAACTAATTCTTATGTTTTAGTTCATTGCTTCTTGAAGCTTGTACTCAGAAGATCACTTTTAGAAGAATAGGTTAAAATTTGTAATCATTATAATTTTTTAAAGTTATGAAGTAGCATAAATTTTGTGACTAATAATATTGATACACACTGTGATTTTTTTTTTAGGACTTTCATGTTAGCATCAGTCTTAATTACTTAAACTGCATATATTGTATAATAGCAAAATGTATATTTTAAAACTTCAAGTGGCTTTCCTCAAGCAAAACTCAATGCTACTTAGAAATATTGAAATACTAGCTTTATCTCAGGTGAATACTCTTGTACCCTTTTTGTTCAGAACACATGCTAATAAAAATGTGTTGTAATTTTATCAGTTTATGTATTTCATTTAGGCAGCTCCTTTTTTCTTAAACTTACTCTAAATTAACCTTCTACTGTGGGACAATAATGACTTTTGCTTCACCTATATTATTCATATTGAATGTATTAACAGATAAGGTGCAAAAACATTCTTCCCTTAAGGAGAATGCATCCATATTCAAACAGCTGAAATATTTCTTTTAAAATGCTTTAAATGCAACATTAAATTGGAAATCTTCTGTTTTAGATATTTTCAAGGAAAGAAGTTGTAACTTAACACTAGCTGCTTCCATACTATCCCTTTCATGAGGATGACAAAGCTTTTATATAGGGTCTAAAGTGTGACTTCTTGTCTTAGATGAAGGTTAAGCTCTACAGTGAAATGGCAAAATATTCTGCAGTTAATCTCAGATAGATGCTGATGTAGTTTGCACACATATTTGTTATAACATTACATAACCTCACCTTGAATAAATAAAGCTTGTTCAATAACTATGTATTTCGCTCACCTATGCATTCTCCAGGATGATTTGTATCCCATCAGTCTTCTATGTATTCTCCAGTAGAAACTGCATTTCGTCTGCCACTGATGCTTGCTCTTTGCACTTAACAGTTGGAGCAAGCCAGTTTTAAATGGGGAACTGAGGCAAGTACTCTTTTACTTGCCTTGTATATTCTGCTAAAATAGTGATATTCACTCGCTTGAATGTACGTAAATGAGGGAAGTTTGAAATTACTCTATAGGATGAATCCCTGTGTGGTGTTACAGTATGCTTTAAGTAAGCCAAATCCACATCTCAAAGAATTCAGCACTTACAGTATAGTATCATTTTTCTATAAACTTGTTCTGTTGCGTTACTTTCACTTTAGGTATCTATTTCCTTATTTCGAGTGAGCAACAAAATTAACAAGGTTTGTGTCTTTTTTGTGAGGACAGCAATGAGAATAGAAAGATTGGTATAAGGAGGTTTATTTGACTGTTGAAATCTGCAGTGTAGTATCTTTTTTTTGTGGAAAGAGATAGATAGTTATGTTGTACATTGTCTGACTTAGTGATACTAGAGACTTCTAAAATT